CAGTATCCAGTTTGTCACAGTGACAGAGGGGATGCTAATAGAAAAAAATATTAAGCAGGGCATTTCCAGACTGATCTGCCCTCTGCCCCTTTTCCACTACAGCTTCCAGTGTTCAGAACCCAAGCACTCAAGGGACCAAAAAGATCGATAAAAGAATGGCCCTGAGGTTAAAAAAGCTTTGTATCCCTGGAGATGGTCTCTTAAGTGCATTGTGGGTGTGTCTACATGTGCATTTATGCCATCTTAAATTTACTGAGCAGCAAGCAGGAATAGGCTGGCATCTACACTTCCATTAATGTTGTGTGTGGACTGACTTGGTACTAACGTTAGTCAGCCCACATACACAGCGTTACTGCACAGTAAGGTGTCTACACATGCATTACTACGCTGTAACTAATCGGGCATAAATTTGATGCCTGCATGATACAGGTAACAAATTTATGCTCAAGTTGGCATAAGTCACCATAACATATTTACTGCACAGTACAGGTCTGCATATATAGACATGCACCCATACTGTGCAGTAATTTTGTGCACAGATGAGTCAATGTGAAGAGGCTTGCAACTACTGATAATTTCAATCCCTGGCCCTATTATTTTTTTGTATCTGTCATGAACACTGTCATTCACTGCAGCAAGCAAGCAAGCAAACAAAACAGAACACGACAAAACACAAACACTTTCCAGTCTTAGCACCTTTGTTACAACAAATTCACCCTTATATGAATGCATATGGGGCTGAATTAAACCTTAATTCTTCTCACCTCTAACTTTAGAAGTTCATCTTCATTAGTTGTAGCAAATGTTAGTGTCTCAGGGCTCTGCACACACACAAACTGTGTCCACACGAGACACTTGTTACACAGTAGCTCGTTACTACTGTACAGGAGCTCATTACTACTGTGCAGTAGCATCACCAGGCACGAACTGCGATGCGACGTACTAGTAAGCATCACTAGGCAACTGTGCTGGGATACTACTGAGTAATAATGCCAGTTATTGCGCAGTCATTTAGTACTTGGTTATGCAGTAACAATTGTGCCTTTGGTGGCTTGTGTAGATGCACCCACTGAGTGTTTTTTCTTTATAGGCAACTTTTTTTTCTGTCATGCATGGGTTAGTACATATTGAAATATAACTGGAGCAGGAATAAATACAAACCAGATGAAAGTGCATGAACATTCCAAAACTTTTAGTTTGCCAAATCTGTTCCAGCATGATTTAAAGAATCCATGTTCTTGTGACAGTGATATAGCTGAAATATCTAATGCTGTTATTATCAATCAGGATACTGCAGCACCCTGGGTGCTACCCTGAGCTCCTTCCATGGTTGTGAGGTGTCACTCAATGTTAGCATTGTTAGGTATGCAAACCTAATTCCCAAGATAAACCAAGAGAGATTTCAAAAAGGAATACATAACAGCTAAGCCAGTCAATCCTGCTGTGGTCTTTCTGAGTCTTTGGCAGGAGAATAATTTCTTTTTTTTCCCTGTAGTCAAAAAAATGAGTGAAAACAAAGAGCTGGCATTTTCTGAGGGAAATTGGGGTTTTTATGATGATTTGTTCCGTGACTAAAGGTTTGGGTGACTCATTGTATTCAAACTGATCTGTTCATCACTCCACATGATGAAGACAGTCACAACCTGGCTCCTCCTATGATTTTTTTCAGCTTTATTTTTATTTATTTCTGCTTCATTAAAGTGGCATCTTAGGCTCCAACAGAGCATGAATGAAAGTGTCCCAAAATGACTGTTGGAATGGAATTTTGGTGTTTCATTATGTTGCACTGCAGTGATATTTTGATACATTTCATCCTGACCTTATGATATTTTCATGAAAACTTACATTGTCACATTGTGCATCAGTCATGTGCTGCAAGACAAAGCTAATTGGGACTGGGGAATGTTTTTGGGGTGCCTTAACTGTTAGATGTCCAAATTATAACACTTTAACAGAGACTGATTTTCAGAAACTTCCTCTTTAAGTTGTCTCAACTCAGGAATCCCCATAGTGAAGCATCAAAGCTTAAAATTGGTGTCCTGATGACCTGGGCTCATTTGGGTCCCAAAAAGAACACTGCACCAGATCACTTCAACCAGCAAACAGGTGAAATCAAGATGATTGCTCATGTGATAAAAGTCAAGCATATTCTTAAGTGCTTTCCTAGATCAGGACCTTAAGGACTGGTTAAATTCCAATTTCAGTAGTTAAATCTCCTATACTTTCACTTATTTCTTAGATTAAGTTGAGTTCTTCACTTCCTTAAACTAGAAAATAATGTTGCCTTCTAGTATAACGACCAGGCATGTTCCAACACTGCTGTACATTATCCATTGCTAAAGTAATAAGAAAGGGATTGTACATTGTTTTCTCCTGAGCATTTATTTAACCTAGTCCATATCTAACTTGTGTGTGCATACGTGGGAGGGTATATATACCAATTATTCCAGCATCAAGAGATGTCTTTTCCAGAATCACACAGGAAATATACAGAAGAGATGGGACTGAAATGAAATCTCCTAAGCCCCAGTCCTGTGTGTTAATAAAAAGAGCATTAGCCCTTTTTCTGTTTTGGCATCCAGGCAATATTATACCCTTAAAAATGATAATATTTGGCTATTTGATTCAGTTTGCATCACTGAATTCCTTTCACTGAGCGTGATTGTTAGGGGTGTGCAAAAAGGGCCATATTCAATTCAGCCTGAATTGGGGACAGTGATCCAATTCATTGATTTGGATCAATGTCCCCGATTTGATTCGGCTGAATCCAAATCTGAAGATTTGATGCTGATTTGGAGAATCAGCAATTCAGCCACAGACATAGCTTGAAATGTTTTTTCTACATACTTCGAGGTACCAGGTGCGGCTTGTGAATGCTGCGATAGGGGGGGAGGGTCGTCGTGGGGTGGGGGGGGGGGGGGGGGGGGTGGGAGAGCTCTTTATCATGTTTCGACTCATAAAGGTCTTAAAGTGCCCCATACTTGCTGTGTCTATGCTATTTGTTTTGTGTAATTTTTGAGGCCTGATTTTGTAAGCCATGGCCAGTAAGTCTTTATTCACATGAGTTATTCTAGAGTTAGGACTAAGGGCAAGACCCTATTCCATTCTTAGGTGATGAAGGTTAGAAATAGCCATCACATAATGAAGTGGATCAGCTGTGCCAAGATTCATCTTGGCACACTTGATCTGCTTCATGGGTGAAATGCACATTGCCCAATGTCCTGTTGTTTGCTCCATTGATCCCGTCACTTGCAGAGGTGCATCCCAGATGTTGCTTGGGCCCATCTCTGTAGGCAGGGAAATGCTGGCTTTCCCCACTTACAGAAATGTTGTCTTTCTGGAGACTCCACTGAAGTGAATTGGATACTCCAGTGCAGTCACAAAGCTGGGACCACCAGCCAAATGATTCCTATTTCTGGGGCACACAGCATTGGGCCCCTGAAGCCTGAAGATTGCCTGCCCTGGGTGACTGGAGAGCACAGGCAGCTCTGGGCTGACCACACTCTCCCACTATAAAATTAACAGACATCTGCTGCAATAAGCAGCATAAATTGATACCACCTATCATGGCCACAAATTTTAGGCATTTTTGGCACAAGTAGGATGGACACATATTTGCTTGGCTTTTGTGTCCCCATTATGGGGGCACAAATGCAATGTCTGTTTCTACCCTAAGTGTACTTAATAGGTTTGGAGTGTTGTTGTAGCTGTGATGATCTAGGAATGGTATGAGGGACAAGACTTTTCTGTAACATTTTTTCTTGGACCAACTGTATATCTGGGAGAGCTATTGGACAAGCTTTTGGGCATCAAGTGCCCTTCTTCAGATCACTTAGGTACTTAGGCACCTAAGTGTGATCCTATTTCACCCTGCATGAGTCCTTGAAAAGCTGCTCCTACAAAAAATTGGTTCGCCTGATCTTTGCTACATTTTTTGTGACCTAATCTTAAGACTAAGATGACTACAGTTACAAATGAGATTCATTAATGGATTTGCAGGAGTTCCAGCAGGTTGCAGTTGGATCACCACTCAGGCTTTTAAGTCAGTTAAAGCTCTAATAGGTAAAATAGGATCTGGCCCTAAATGCAAACATATTGCATTTAGTATACAGGGCCTGCCCTTTGAAAATAATATCCATGACCAGTCTTCTGAATCTGGAGTCATTTTAAAATAAAAGGAGAGTTCCAAACTGACTGTGCAAAAACAATATTTTCTCACTCAAAAGATGTGTTCTCCATGTGTATTCAGTCAGATTTGGTCATTTCATCAAATGAACTAACAGCAAAATCCTGTTTCTTTCTACACATTGACAGAATTACTTGCTAAATTACAATCTGGCTACATCACTGTCACTGGGGCATAATTTGAAGACAAGTGTTTTGCAAGTCTAATTTTGCCTGCAAAACATTCATTTATGGGTTGAGTAACATGGAAATAACCTAGTTTCATGAAAGGTACAAGCTGACTTAGCTTGAATGGTAGTTAAAGAGAAGATTTCTTTTCTTGCAAATAAAACATGTTTGATTTACAGCAGGGATGTCAAGCTCACCCTGACCCCCACCAAGGATGCAGGGCTCTTCATAGGCCAAATCTAGCCATGGTTGTGACCACAGGGGTTAACAGCCTCCACCACTGACACACATCTCCAGTGGGGCTGTATTCCCTGGATTTTGGTGGCTGCTCCATCCCTGCTAGCTTTGCCTCTCTAAAGACCTTGTGAGCCACACAACGTGGTTTTGCAGAATGCATACAGCCCATAGACCATAGGTTTGACACCCCTGATTTACAGTCATTGAGAGACAGCATTAAAAAGTCCAGGATTTCCAAGTCACTTTAAAAGAATTACCCTTTACAGAACCTTTTCACAGTGATTTTCTGGTTTGTCTTAGGGGTCAACATTAAAATCCCAAATTTACCAAAAGAAAGAGATTCTGCATCTTTTAATGAAAGATAAAACAACAATATAAACATACACTAATTTACAGAGAAAAGATCAACTTTAATACATTTGGAGTAAAAGGTGTTCTTTTTTTAAATATGGTATAAAAATAAATGCAAGAAACATTAACAGAGAATATAGACAACAGACAAAGACACAGGCTTTCTTTCTCAATGTGAATACATCAGGTGAAATGGAACCTTCTGTGCTAATTTATTGTGCAGCAAATGTGATATCATATGTATATTTATTAGTATATGTATGCATTTTTCTTATATTTCTTCCAGTTTTTGACTGATGGCATTTTTTTTAATAAACTGTGTCTAGCAGAAGCTTTTTTTCACTGTACTTGAGCTTGCAGAAAATAAAAAGACACAGATCCAGCTTGATATGAAGAAGGAAGTGAGCAGACAATTTTCGAAATGGAGGCATCGAAAGTTAGAGAGTCCCTCGGAGTCTGTAATGCCTTAGTATACACAAAAGAAAACAAGTCAGGTCCTTGCTCATGCAACATCTTGTTCTACTGTCCTCTGATTCAGGCAATCAGTGAGCTACAAAGTATGTATAATGATTTGAGTCTGCTTCCATGCTACAAGGTGATCCTTTAGTAGGACTGCACTAGACTGGTTAACCTCTTTGATGTGAGCGATTTCCCCTGAGGAAAAGATAAAAACAAAAAACAGAGGTATGATCACTGAGAACCTGTTCATCAGCCTACACCTAATTATTTACCAGTGATGTGGTAACATTTTAGCCACCAATTGGAGCTTTTTTCATATCTTAAGCCTAGGAAACCATTTTATTTAAACTTTGAATGCCTGTACAAAACTGAATCCCAAAGCACTAAACAACAGACTGTCTCACAGAATAATTCAGAAAATTATAAAACTATACAGTAGCACCCAGAAATGGTCCATCTGTGCTTAGCAACAAGCCAACACTGAGCTTTTGTTGTTGATCATACCCAGTGCTTAAAATAGTTTCAAAAAGACTAGTACAATACGGCCTGTCTCATGATGCAGAGATGAGTATACTGAACTGCAGTGACTCCACTCCAAGAACATTACACCATCCGCTCTGAAGTGTGGGGAAGAACATAAAAGGCAGCTGCACATTGGGCTCAAGAAGTAAAACAGTTCCTTCTATGAGCTAAGCTTAACTTTTGCTGGAAATATTTCTACGGCTTACAGAAAACATCATACAGGTACATTACATGTGTCTAGTCTGTAGACTGCTTTGAGGGCCCATGGGGTCCGTCTTCTTTCATAGTTAAGATTCCCTGCTGTTGTAAAGATGCATGTTTGGACCTTAGCTAATCCTGTTAAATCAGGTAGAATGATTGTTCCTAGGGATTGGAACTAGGGTGCAGAAGAGAAGAATACAGAAAACTAGCTATCCAATACCAAGATGTAACGGTCCTACCCAGGGGTGTCAAAGGTATGAGCTGTTTCACTTAGCCAAAGAGCTGTTTCACTTAGCCAGCACGGCTCTTAAAAGAGATGGGAATTCAAGGGCAGGGCAAGCAGGGGTGGGGTCTGCTGCCAATTTCTCAGGTATTGAGCCTGGCTGCAGATGCATCAGACACAATAGAGCAAGCAGTAGCAATGTTAACGTCTGTGTTATTGTCACAGCTCACCCTTCCACCACCACTGACATTGCTAGGTCTGTATCCAGCCTACAAGGAACCATGCAGGCTGGATCTGACCCAGGGATGTAGGTGAGTTTGACACCCCTGATCTAACCATTGGATCAAAGGGTCTGATAATACTTCTGAAAGAAATCAACACAGAAAATGCAAATGGATATCAATAAAACTATATAAGTAGTGGGGGAATCACAAATGCAGAGAGATTCCACATTTTCAGGGGTAACTAAACATTAAATAAATTTATTCCAGTTATATCAGCAAATAAATATATCTTTTATTTTTTTCCTGGTTTTATTATCATTTCAGCTGAATTACACAAATACAGCTGCTATTAGCCACATAAAAAGACATAACCCCTGATAAGCATTTGCTAAAACATGATGCATTGGGGTATAACTTGGGTAGGATTTCATAAAATTGACCTTAAATTACTTTTACATTTATGAGAACAAAGAAGATAACTTTAATAGGTCTGCGTGCATTTTTCCCCATAATAAAATTTTCAAAGGATCACAGGATCTGCCATATTGGATTAGATCACTCATCCATCAAGTTCAGTATTCTGCTTCTGACAGTAATGATACTTAATAGTTCAAAAGAAGACAAGCCTGCACTCAACCACTCTGTCTCCTTTTGTCTCTTCGGGCAACCCTTTCACTGAGTCACCTACAGTCTATTTTAGTGTGTCCGGGATATATGTACAACAGCTGTTTCATGCAACACTTTTCATGCACAGAGCCACTTGATTTGTTCCAATCAGCTACATTGCTAAATAAGGAAACACATTTAAGAAACCTTTGACTCCTTTCTGCCAAGAAACTCTTTCTTAAAAAGCCATCTCAAATTTGAGTGACAGTTTGGTCATAAAAGCACATGAAACCTGCCTCTTTTTCTGGGAGATGCTACAGTTCATCATAGGACCAGATCCTCAGTTTCTCTGTTCAACTTCCCCCTCCTCAGTTTAAAAATAAATGAGGAGTTTAGGCCCAAACTCAGCAACATGCTTAACTTCAATGGGATTGGGGGATTCTCTAGACTACTGTCACAGGGAAACAACCTCACCCACTTCCTCTTCCTCTTCATGTGCCAAAATCCTGGAAATGAGACCACAGATCCAGGTTAGAGATATCCAAAGCATACACTGCCATGCTGGTGTCGGGAGGTATGTCTACAACTGCAATTAATGTGCCTGAGCTTCCAGGTGTGCATCTACATGTGCACTCAGGTTGGGAGCAAATTGAGCCTGACAGGAGCAGCCTAGTCCAGGGCTCTTCCTGTCCTGCTGTGCCCCCCTGCAGCAGTCAAGGGGAGCTCCAGGCTCCAGCTGCAGCTGACCAGTTGCCAGCTCTAGGCTGGTAAGAGGCATGGGGGCAGCCCTGGGGCATGGTGGGGTTAGGCCTGGGCTCCAGAGGGTGGGGAACGAGCTGTCCCTGACTCCAGGGACAGCTCTGAGTGGCACAGATCTCAAGTCTCTGTTCGGAGTTTCCTCCAGAGCTGGGGACAGCTTGCCCCGCTGCCCCTCCCCCGGAGCTTGGGGCTAAGTCCTGATCTCTGCACCGCTCACAGCTGCCCCTGGAGCTGGGGACAGCTCCTCTCCTGCGCCTAAGCTGAGAAGCAGTTGTGGCCCCATGCTACCTGGGCTGGTCAGGAGCAATTTGCTCCTGGGTCAGCTTTTACATGTGCGTTCAGGTGCGTTGACATAAAGCGACATTGCCTAATACTACCAAATGGTGCTTTACATTAATCTACTGCACAGTAATTGCCACACATGTGTAGACAGTGACGCTTTACCGTGCATTAGATTAATTTTATGTGTAGTAATGCTCACACATAGATGTGCCAGAGCATACTTCTTGGCACACCATCAGAGCCAATCTAAACCAATCATACTGCCTCATTTTCAGGGTTTGGCAAGTGCAGAGCAGGAGTTAGTAATGGGATATGCCTCACTGTGGCATTACTGGCCTCAGCATTGAGGATGTGTAGCTATGACCTTACAAGTAAGCACATGGTTAACTTATTTGCACAACTGAGTCTTGAAAATTAAGTGGTCTCAAAGAAGTGCCAGGTCAGTGGTTACCCACTGGCTGAAAGGAGTCAGTAACTACATCTTGGGACTGTTTGCTTATTTATGTACTGTATTTCATGCTGTGTAGGTCAACCATGGCATATAGGTTGACCCCAGTTTTCCAGTGCAAAAATTTAGGATATTCATAGGCTCAGTATATAAGTCGAGGCTGGGCTTGGCATTCAGTTGGCATGGCCCCATCCTCTGCAAGCGGCAGTGCTTGTGTGATACCAGCTGAGTGCTGAGCCTGGCCCTGTATGCTGTTAGTGTTGGTGCTGAGCACTGAGCCCAGCCCCGTCCCCTGTGAGCAGCAACAGGCTTGGGGCTGCGCTCAGCACTCAGCTGGTACAGCCCATTCTCGGTGAGTGGCACTGAGCTTGGCACTTGGCTGGCACAACTGAGGCAGCACCACTTGCAGGGGATGGGACCATGACAGCTGAGAGCTGAGCCTGGCCCCGTCTCCTGTGAGCGGCACTGGGTATGGCGCTCAACTGGTGCGGCCCCATCCCCTGAGAGCAGCACTGCCTGGGCTGCTCCAGCTGAGCACTGAGCCCAGCGCCATTTGCAGGGGATGGTGATATGGTATATAAGGTGAGGTTGAATTTTAAGAGTTAAAAATTGGGCTTCAAACTTTGACTTATACACCATGAAATATGGTATATTCATAATCCTCTCTGGTGTGCCTCTGCCTTTTATCATATCTCTGACTTTATTTGGGTACAGTCTGCGTCCTTGTTTATTCAAGTCCCTCAAGCTCTGGGCTTAAGTAAGCTACACCGAGTATAATTTGCACTGATTTTGTACTCTGATGTAAATTACACCAGGACTTAGAGCAGGTAGATGAACTGCTATTGCAGGACAGCTGTTTACAGCAGGTGTTGTAACAGACATTTACCACTAGGTGGTAGTGGAGAAACAGGTAACAGTCTGCTTGACTTGACCAAATGGTTACCCCGGGATGCAGGCAGACAAATGACACTTAAACTGATGCAACATAGGGAAAAGGTGTACGTAATACTCTGACAACTTCAAATGCAGTTTAAACCTGAAATGGACAGACGTAGAAGGCTGCTAAAATGGTTTAAAGCTGTCTGGAATGGTCCAAAAGTGTATGCGGCAAATCAAGTACTCTTTTGAACCACTTCACTGACACCCAAGTCAATGTTACATGTGGACACCAAGCGTTGTGACCTAGGTCTGGTTGGTCCTCCAGGACACCACACTTCATTGCTCCTCACCCCCCATGCTGTTGCTTTTGGCTGTTTTGATACAAAGCCAGAATTCAGTTATCCCCTAATCCCCCTTTTTTTCCTTCTTTCATTGGCACTGTTTTATCGATTAGCTTCCTTGCACTGCTTGGTCAATACAAGCTATTTGCTAACAACCAGCTATGTCTTCACTCCCTAGTCAACTAAAGCCCCTCATCATGCCCACTCCCTCCCTCCCCCCCCGGCCAAGCATTCCTATAGTGGGCACCCTCAGGCAAACACACACCAGAGTGTGGTCAAGTGCAAGCTACTGCTACCAAACTTTAATGAGCTCATATTTAGGAAAGAAGGAAAAGAAAAAAATTAAAAAAGCCCCTAGCCACAGATCATCCACTCTCTGGGACTCCCAAACCATGAGTGCAAGCATTCTCTGTGTGAGGCGTGCTAGGCTGGGTGTTCACTTCCAATCCCTGGTGTCAGACATGCTGCACTTCAATGCCTAAAAGGTGACTGTTCTACCTAGAATGTTAGGGCATTGTGGGTGCTCCTACATGTGCGTTAGATCCTATAGCCATTTATTCATGACATGAGTAAACTACTCAAGAGTAAATGCTCCTGGGCAAGCATCTACATGTGTAAGAAAGTGGGAGCAGATTTGCTGTTAATGGCAGGAAACTGCACTTGCTTCCTGGGGCCCTGCAATGGGCCCCTGCTGCCATCAGGGGGAGCTC